AGAAGGAGGCCTACAGGGCGTGGCTGGTCTGTGGGTCTCCGGAGGCAGCAGACAGGTACCGGATAGCCAAGCGGGGTGCAGCAGTGGCAGTTGCCGAGGCAAAATCTCGGGCGTGGGAGGAGTTTGGTGAGGCCATGGAGAAAGACTATCGATCGGCTCCAAAGAGGTTCTGGCAAACTGTCCGGCGCCTCAGGAGAGGAAGGCAGCAACTCGCTCACACTGTTTACAGTGGGGATGGGGAGCTGCTGACGTCAACTGAGGCTATAGTCGGACGGTGGAAGGAATACTTTGAGGAGCTCCTCAATCCCACCAATGTGCATTCCGAGGAGGAACCAGAGCTGGGAGGCCTGGGGATGGACTGTCCGATCTCGGGGGCAGAAGTTGCTGAGGTAGTCAAACAACTACACAGCGGCGGAGCCCCGGGGGCGGATGAGGTTCGTCCTGGGTATCTCAAGGCTATGGATGTTGTAGGGCTGTCATGGTTGACACGTCTCTACAACATTGCGTGGTCATCGGGGGCAGTTCTTAGGGAGTGGCAGACCGGGGTGGTGGTCCCCATCTTTAAGAAGGGTGACCTGAGGGTGTGTTCCAACTATAGGGGGATCACACTCCTCAGCCTCCCTGGAAAGGTCTACGCCAAGGTACAGGAGAGGAGGGTCCGATCGATAGTTGAATCTCAGATAGAGGAGGAGCAATGTGGTTTTCGTCCTGGCCGTGGAACTGTGGACCAGCTCTATACCCTTGCAAGGGTGATGGAGGGGGCATGGGAGTTTGCCCAACCAATCCACATGTGCTTTGTGGATTTGGAGAAGGCTTATGACCGTGTCCCCAGGGGCACCCTGTGGGGGACGCCCCAGGAGTATGGGGTGGGTGGCTTTCTGTTAAGGGCCATTCAGTCCCTTTACCAGAGGAGCGTGAGTTTGATCCGCATAGCCGGTAGTAAGTCGGACCTGTTCCCAGTGAGGGTTGGACTCCGCCAGGGCTGCCCTTTGTCACCGGTTCTGTTCATCACTTTTATGGACAGAATTTCTAGACGCAGCCGTGGTGTGGAGTGTGTCGAGTTTGGTGGCAGGAGAATCTCGTCTCTGCTTTTTGCGGATGATGTGGTCCTCCTAGCTTCATCCAGCTATGACCTTCAGCTCTTGCTGGGTAGGTTCGCGGCCGAATGTGAAGCGGCTGGGATGAGGATCAGCACCTCCAAATCTGAGACCATGGTTCTCGACCGGAAAAGGGTGGCTTGCCACCTCCGGGTCGGGGGAGAGGTCCTACCTCAAGTGGAGGAGTTTAAGTATCTCGGGGTCTTGTTCACGAGTGAGGGTAGGAGGGATCGGGAGATCGACAGGCGGATTGGTTCGGCGTCTGCAGTGATGCGGACGCTGAGCCGATCTGTCGTGGGGAAGAGGGAGCTGAGCCAGAAAGCCAGGCTCTCGATTTACCGGTCGATCTACGTCCCAATCCTCACCTATGGTCATGAGCTTTGGGTAATGACCGAAAGAACGAGATCACGGATACAAGCGGCCGAAATGAGTTTCCTCCGTAGAGTGGCCGGGCTCAGCCTTAGAGATAGGGTGAGGAGCTCGGACATTCGGGAGGGACTCGGAGTAGAACCGCTGCTCCTCCGGATCGAAAGGAGCCAGTTGAGGTGGTTTGGGCATCTGGTCAGGATGCCTCCTGGACGCCTCCCCGGGGAGGTGTTTCGGGCATGTCCTGCCGGCAGAAGGCCCCCGGGTCGACCCAGGACACATTGGAGAGGTTACATCTCCAATCTGGTCCGGGAACGCCTTGGGGTCCTGCCGGAGGAGCTGGTGGACAAGGCCGAGGAGAGGACGGCCTGGACCTCCCTAATTGGGATGCTGCCCCCGCGACCCGGACCCGGATAAGCGGAGGAAGACGAAGACGAAGACGAAGAATCGGACATGGTTGTGAAAGTGTGATGGTCCACATTGGTATCTGGAAAACTTGCTGTAACTGATGCAGAGAAGAGTGAGCAAAGGTTTCTCCTGTATGATGTGAGAAACTCACCGTTTGTGTATAAAAGGTTCAGAATATCATATATTACCTTTGTTTGTTAAAATTTGTTGGTTTTATTTTGGTGGGAATTCAGGAAGTGGCATGCTTTTATTTTGAAGAGCCTTTCACAGTGAGCTCACTTCCAGCGCTAGAATTTTCCCTTTTCTTTCCTTTTTTACCTGCATGTGAGACAAGTGTTCCTTCATTCTCTTGCAAGTCATGCTGATGTTGACAGCATTATGTTAATGCAAGAAGTGAGTCACTTTACTTCATGTTTAAGACTGCATTATTAAGTTCCTTTGTTTTATTATTGAATATTAGTTGAGTATTGAATTACTGAAGTGTCTATGTCCAACACGTTTCTTTCCTTAAAGTTGGTTGTCCTTGATGTTAATGACATGAGGAGTTATTTTCATTTCATTTCTAGTTTTTACCTCATAATTGCTCCAGTGAGTAAAGGTTGACAGTGTCACGTGAGGGAGTTATGGAGATCTTAATTAGCCACAAGAGGGCGCTATTGTTTGAATTTCTCTGCTAGATTGTAAATTGGTTAATTAACATAAATGTGTTTTGCCTCATTCCCCCTTTCTGTATTGAATGAGAAGGTTCATTAGTAGTTTATTTTAAGACATATGGTTAGTTCAGTATGGTTAGATGGTTAGTTCAGTGCATAGAGTGCTGATATATTGGATAATTTTATATTCTGTAAGAGAATTTGCTGTCACCGGAATTGTTTCTTATCTTAATAATTTATTTATGTTTACTGTTTCAGACTGTTGTCAATGCTGTTAATGATTATCATCAACCAAGATTAAAGATTTGGATCTACAGAGAAGGATGCATCTAGCCTCTTCCTGTATTCTAACAGATACACCATACTGATAGCCACCTCACCTGGAAAGAGCTAGCTTTAACCAAACCCTCCTTTGCAGTTTGTTATCACTAACACTTGACTGAAAAGGAAACTGCTTAGTCAATCACCTGATCTGAACAGCATTAAATAAGTCTCAGAGAACCTGGAGGTTTCTTCCTGTTAAAAGGGAATGTTCCTCTCTACTGTCACTACATGCTTACTTAGTATGAGGATTGCCGTAAAGACGCTGATCTGCAAAGATTGCCCCAGGTAAAACTGCTCCTGATCTCGAGGTGGTAGTTCATGCTTTTAATCACTGCACACCTGGACTATTGTAATTCAGTCCTATTTGGGGCAAGTCTGGGTACTATAGCAAGGATACAGCTTGTGCAAAACACAGCTGCCAAGGTTTTAGAGAGCAAGCGCAAATTTAACCATGTTACCCTGATATGGGCTGCATTACACTGATTGCTCGTTGATTTCAGAATTTGTTACACTTCTTTTACTGGTCTACAAGGCTCTGAACTGATTGTCACCACCTTATCTGGCAGCCCTATGACAGCCACATGCCCCGACTAGGGCACTTCGTTTGGAAAATCTTTTACTGCTTTCGGTCCATAGATCACATCTGAAGACGAGATGTGATAGAGCCTTTTAAGTAGCTTACGCAAAGCTTTGAAACAAGCTTCCTCTGTCCACAAGGGCTGATATTTACCTCTGTGGCAGTTTTTAAAACAAGGCTGAAGACCTACTTTTATGATTTGGCATTTTCCTCTCATGGTTATATAAATTAAGCTACTGCTTTTAGTCATTATGTTTTTTTTCTGTTTTTATTGAATTTTATTTTGTCTGTGAAGCACCTTGTTTCATGTCTCTGAGGCGCTACACCAATAAAGGCTGAGTAGAGTAGAGTTGTCATGATTTGGAGCTATCTAAATGAACTGAATTGAACATGACTGCAGTTGTTGTAGACTATAAAGTTTAGGGGGCAATAACTTTTTTTATAAAATAGGGTTAGATTAATCTGGATATATTTACCTGTTAAAGAATTAAATAATTTGAAAGCATTTTCTATCTGCTCTGTTTATTTCGACATTGTTTCTGATCTGAAACATTCATGTGTGATACAAAGCAACAATAACATGTGTCAATCTGTGAGGAGGCATGTTCACTGACAAAACTGGAAAAGAAAAGGTCTAGCACAACTTAAATCTGTGCTCCTATCTGAATGGATGTCATTTAACATTTAGGTTGTTTTATTCTAACATGCAAGCACTGGAGTTATGCTGTCAAGGATTTCACGACGAAAATATGCACCATCAGAAAATGTATGGGCCCTGAGAAGCAACATATAGGGTTACAGCCATAGTGAGTATTACTGCATTATATACCCGGCAGATGAGAAAGTCCCCAGAGCCCAATCATGTAATCCTCCATTCCATGTAGAGTAGTAAATCTCACAGAGGATTACACACAGGATAAAGGTTTACTTCCCTTAAGTCACAACAAGACAATTTTATTTTAAAGGTTTAAATACATTTAACCTCCCCAAAAAAGACTCAGTACTCAACTAGTCAGTTTTTGTTGCTTCCATTTATGGAAAGTTCAAATATGGAAACTTTCAAACTGGTTCTTCTGCACATTACAGCCTGTTTATGAGCAACCTCAAACAAAAACTTTGTTCATGCGTCACGGAGGCCATGGGGATTATGTCTGGACGAGAGATGGTGTTAGGAGATTAGAGCTTTTTTCTGCAACAAGTCTGCTCTGTGCAGGGTTGCACAAAAGAGAGAAAGAAATAGACTTTCTGCTCTCAACGTGAGCTTGTGTTGCCCGCTGGAGGCGAGACAGGGGAAGGCACACAGAAACGGAACGGAAAGATGAAACGGTCCGTGTTCTTGCTGCAGACGGTCCTGGCCACCCGCTTCGTCACCACGTCAACAGAGAGAGAGAGAGAGAAAGAGAGGGGGGGGGGGGTCAAACTTTCTCTCTGCTCCCCAAAACTCCTTCCTTCAATAAAAGATGGCCATGGGATAAACCGCTATAATGATAAAGAGAGAGCCTCAGATCCACAGGTCTGGCACTTTCCCCTCACGCCGCACGGCGCGTGCCCCCTTCAGGCGCGCACCCGCCGTGAATGCATCTCGCTCTCTCCTCACTTTGCTTCCTTTCCTCCTCTCGACAGCATCCAGAACTATAGCGCAGCCGGCCCCATCAGTCGTTGTGCTTCCATCCTCCTCCTCCTCCCCCTTCTCTCTCTTTTATTTCTCACTGCCAGATCTCCCTTCCTTTTCATACACGCACACCCACACACACGCTGGCACACACACACACACACACACACACATCCTCTGCCCGCCTCCAACTCGCCAGCTCGGTCCCTCACTTCTCTGACGCACGACAGGGAAACAACGGACCCGAGAAAAGAAAGATAGGGAGGGGTAAAAAGAAAAAGAAAGAAAAATGCAGCAGAACGAAGTCGGTGCTGATATGATCCACATGCCCGGAATGATGCTGATGATGTTGCTCTGCTGGACAGAGACGCGGTCCTGAAGTCGAGAGGAAAGCTCTCACCCGGCTGTTGAGCGTTCGCCCGAAAGGCATCAGAGAAGAAGGAGGAGGAGGCGGAAAGGGGGAGAGGATGGGCAGAGGTGGGAGACTTGCATTTTAAGCAAACTGCTTAGAAAAAATCAGGAGACGTGGACGAAAGGGGAGAGAGTCGGAACCACAGGAGAGTGAGAGGAGGATAAATCGCATTCTTATCACGTCTTGATTTCTCTCCTCTCCTCTCCTCTGCCACCGAAACAGGGTGAGGAAAGGGGGGGAGAAAAAGAGAGAGAAGAGGAGAGAGGCAGGAGAAGGAAGCCAGATAGCGAGAGAAAGATCCTAACTAGTGGTCTCCCCTCCACACCCGATGCGTTCCAAGGTGAGCGGCTATCTGTTTCCTTATAGATCATGTGGGAGGTATTAATCGTGTGTGTGTGTGTGTGTGTGTGTGTGTGTGTGTGTGTGTGTGTGTGTGTGTGTGTGTGTGTGTGTGTGTGTGTGTGTGTGTAAGCTGGTGTCTGCATAGCACCGGACTTCGAAGGGGGAGCTGCACGAAGGACAGCGGATAGCGGGAATCCAATTGGCTGATCAATAATCGTTTGTTCCTTCTTTTAGTCGCAATTTTCCGCCAATGTCACGACGGAACCACGGTGCATTATGATGTGCATAGATCTCACTACGCAGGGTGCCTCTCTCCCTCTCTATTTTTATTTTCCATGGGGGGCTGGGTCGGTGAAGAGAGGGGGGCTGGCACAAAACCAAAACCCGGAACTTGTTTAATCTGATCACCTTTCTTAACCAACTCAGGGTCCGCGTCTTTTTAAAGTTCAAACATCGGTAAGCAACACTTTTAATTCTCCTGCACAGCTCTCTCTCTCTCCCCACGTCCTCCTCCCCTCTGTTCTTCTCTAATGGATCAGTCATCCTTTCTTTTTTTCTGCTTCTCCTCCAGCCCGGCATCGGGACGGCGAGCGGAACGCACCGGGCGACTGCAGGGAGCGTCGCGGGAGGATATGTAAAGTAGGAATCCCACTAAACTAAGTACGTATACCGATTCAAACCAGAGTTATTGTTCTGTTTGTTGCGGCTAAATGTTACTTTTTAATGACATCGGATCTGGCTTTTTGATCCCTAACATCGAGGCGGATTAAAAATCCGGAGGATTACACACGGAGTGAAGCGAGAAATGTGGAGGTTTAGACATCGAGGACATCACGCCTATGGACCCTTTTCCCCTTTTTTATTTTTTATTTTTGCGTTTTGAACCTGTCCCGGGTATTTTGAAGGATTACAGCATTTTGACATTTTTTCTTTCTCTTCTTTGAATCTTTTTTGGGGGGCTTTTTTGTCTTCAGCACCATGGACAGCGACTCTCCCTCAGCCAAACGGTCCCACGCGCTTTTTTCTTTATTTTTCTTTGAAACATTTTTTGCCTATTTATTTATTTTATCGAGGCCTCCATTTGAGTTTGGACATAAAAACTCGACGAGAAGTACATTTTCCATCTAAATGTGTTCTATTTGAGTGAATGTGTGTGTGTGTGTGTGTGTGTGTGTGTGTGTGTGTGTGTGTGTGTGTGTGTGTGTGAGCGCGTGACTTTCCACTCTTTATATATTGAGTAGTATGTATTGATCCACCATTTACATGTTTCTTCCTCTTTTTTACTGTAATTTTTAAATTGGAGTCAAATAGAGCCCTAAAGCATTTTATTATCAACAGCCATCGTTATGATTTTATTTCATTTCAAACCTACTGAGCTCTAATCCTAAATGAGCTTCACGTTCCCCAAAAACTCATTTGACCCATTGGATTACTTTCCATTTTAGTCTTATTTTATTGCCATTTGGTAAAAAAAAAGACTTTCTCTTACTTGTAGCCAAACTGATAGTTGCATTTCGTAGTAAATGCCGATACATTTGTTTAATAAGATTTAGTCAGAACGCTAAAATGTGTCAAGGCTGGCATATTACAACAGAAACAAGTGTAAAAAAATTCCATTTTGTTCCACTTTCACGTATTTATTTTGTTTTCTACATTAAAGCTTCAACACACCTACTACACTGCATTTTCCATGCCATTCACAAACATTCTAAAGGAGAAATTTAGGTCCCTGTTATGCAATAAATAAAGTGAGGGGACAGTGTATCCTGAACGAGGCTCTCACCCACCTACTGGTGCCTTCGTTTATTCATGACGATAGGCATCTCTGCTGTGATTTATGGTGACCGTAGCAGCACATCTAGTGTATAATAAATGGTGTTTCAGGCTGCATAGTGAAGTGAACTAACTGTCTGAGTACAGAGATTTGTTTGTGTTTCTCCGTTATACTACTGTTCATTCTAGCATGTCTGGCTAACATTTAGTTTGGGATAAACAACAATATTACAGATTATGAAGTATTCTTGAATATCTATTATTCATTGGGATTCGTATCTAAGTGCAACTAATGCATCCCTCCACACATTTTCGCTTCCTTCTTGCCCCTGTAATCTAAACTTTAATATCTCTGTGTTTTTGCATGCATGTGTGTGTGTGTGTGTGTGTGTGTGTGTGTGTGTTTGTGTGTGTTGATAAGTGCACCTCATCTTTTCCTCCCACACCCACCTTTCTGTTGTCTTTCTTTGTTTTCTCTTGCAGTGCTGTGAAGTGGCTCTGTCCCTGGAGCCAAGACTTCATCTGTTTGGTGTCAGTGAGGATGCTGTGGGTTACCTTGCTGAGCACCATAGCCTTAGGATGGACCACACCGATCCCACTGCTCGAGGACTCCGAGGAGATCGACGAGCCCTGCTTCGAGCCCTGTTACTGCGAGGTCAAGGAGGGCATCTTCCATGTCCACTGTGACAGTAAAGGATTTACAAATGTCAGCCAGATCTCCCAGATATGGAGTCGGCCTTTCAAACTCAACCTGCAGAGGAACTCAATGAGGAAGCTGTACTTCAACAGCTTCCTTCATCTTAACAATGCCATATCCATTAACTTGGGTAACAACGCATTGCAAGATATACACGCAGGAGCATTCAATGGCTTAGGAATACTCAAACGGCTGTTCCTGCATGAAAACAAACTAGAAGTTTTTCGGAATGACACATTCCTGGGATTGGAGAGTCTAGAGTACCTCCAGGCAGACTACAATGTCATTAAAAGGATTGAAAGTGGTACATTCAGACACCTTCACAAACTAAGAGTGCTTATATTAAATGACAATCTTATCCCTGTTCTCCCAAATAATCTTTTTCGGTCTGTGTCCCTCACACATCTGGACTTGAGAGGAAATAGACTAAAGACATTGCCGTACAAGGGAACTTTGGAGTACGTTGGACGGAGCTTGATGGAAATCCAGCTGGAGGAGAACCCTTGGAACTGTGTGTGTGAAATTGTCCAGTTAAAAACATGGCTGGAGAGAATCCCGTACACAGCTTTGGTAGGAGAGATCACTTGTGAGTACCCATTCCACTTACATGGAAAAGACCTACGGGAAATTAAACGCGGTGAGCTCTGTCCTCTGCTCTCCGATGTAGAGATTGAGGCCAAGCTGGGAATTCCCCGGGTACCATTCAGCAATGAGAACACTTGGCCTACTAAACCTTCCTCCATGCTCTCCTCCTTTCACAATACAGCCTCTTCTGTGGAGTACAAGGAAAGAGCTGTGAAGCCCACCAAACGACCTCGGCCCACTAAGAATCCCCCAACCCCTCGTAGCATCTACCCAGGTATCAACCAGCCTCCGATTGCTGGTTACCAAACCAGACCACCAATACCAATTATTTGTCCAGCTGGGTGTATCTGTAACCTTCACATTAATGACCTGGGCTTGACAGTGAACTGTAAAGAGAAAGGCTTTCACAACATCTCAGAGCTCCTGCCACGCCCCCTCAATGCCAAGAAATTGTATCTCAGTGGGAACCTTGTACAGAAAATCTATCGTTCAGATTTCTGGAACTTCTCAAGTTTGGATTTACTGCATTTAGGGAACAATCGGATCTCCTATGTCCAAGAGGGCGCCTTTATCAACTTACCAAACCTAAAGAGTTTATATCTAAATGGAAATGACATTGAAAGGCTCACGCCTGGGATGTTTCGAGGCCTCCAGATGTTGAGTTATCTTTACTTTGAGTATAATGTAATTCGTGAGATCCAGCCGCACTCTTTCTCTCTTATGCCCAATCTCCAGCTTGTTTTTCTTAATGACAACCTGCTTCGGGCCCTCCCCACTGATGCATTTGCTGGCACCAGCCTTGCACGTCTCAATCTTCGCAGCAATTACTTTGTTTCCCTGCCTGTGCATGGGGTCCTGGAGCACCTGACCTCCATTGTTCAGATTGATCTCCATCAGAACCCTTGGGACTGCTCGTGCGACATCATTCCACTCAAACAGTGGCTGGAAAAGCTCTCCTCCGTCATTGTAGTCGGGGATGTCACATGCAAGATGCCAGAGTTTGCATTTGGAAAGGACCTGCGCTCTCTCGAGGTTGAGGTCATCTGTCCAGAGCTTAGATATTCTACAGGCCCTTCCCCAGCATTGCCTGGTGGGGATGACTCCACCACTGGGAGCTCTGATGTGGGAGAAGCTGGCAGGAGAGGGGCTGTTCCACTCTCAGTCCTCATCCTCAGCCTACTCATCCTGTTCATCTCAGCTGTGTTTGTGGCTGCTGGACTTTTTGCCTTTGTTCTTCGACGCAGAAAGAAGCTGCCGTTCCGCAAACGTTCGGAGGTGGATCTAGCAGGGATCCAGATGCAATGCAGGATTTTTGAGGACCCACCAAGGCAAAACAGTGCCGGTAACAATGGCACACCAGAGAAACCAACACCCAGTATGCACACACACTCGCACACAAGTCATGCACATGCTCATGGCCACGTTTATGATTACATCCCCCACCCTGTGACTCAGATGTGTAACAACCCTATCTATAAGCCTAGAGAGGGGGAGATTGCAGAGGAGGAGAGGGCACAGTTTTCAGAAAAGAAAGACAATGGCAGCAGTGGCAGCAGTAACTATAGGACCTTATTAGAAAAAGAGCGAGAGTGGACCCTTGCTGTCTCAAACTCTCAACTCAACACCATTGTTACGGTCAACCACGCCACCGCTGATGTGGCGGGATTTCACGAGAATGGAGGGCTGTGCCCTACAGTGATTGACAGTCAGAGACCCACACCAACAGTGGGCTTTGTCGATTGTTTGTATGGGACAGTACCCAAATTAAAGGACATGCATGTTGCTCATGCCCATCCACCAGGCATGCAGTACCCAGATTTGCAGCAAGATGCACGACTGAAGGAGACATTGCTTTTCACAGCTGGGAAAGGCTGCTACCCTGACCCAACCCAAAGTGATTACCTCGAGTTAAGGGCCAAACTTCAGACCAAGCCAGATTACCTCGAAGTCTTGGAAAAATCTTATCGGTTCTAACATCTGCAGCCCATTGGAAACAAAACAAACTAAAAAAAATACAAGAAAAGAAAAACAAAACAACAACATTGTCACCTAAAAACAAAGCAGCATGATACAAAATGAAATATGATACAGTCACAATGCCCCGACACAAATCACCTTGGAGGAGAGGTCATTCTCAGATATTTCAATTAAGTGCCTTGTTTTCAGAGTAGCCAGCAATGTCAACAACCATTATTTTTATATTACATAAATATATATATATAAATATATATATATAAATGCCCTGAAGAGAGCAAAAGATGAAGCAGAGGGGCACTGGGAGAAACTACAAACCACGTTACATCCGTCACTAAAACCCAATTTTATGGAGTTACAATAACGTGCTACTAATTACAATGTGGACAAACGGGAGCTGGACGTCTCCCTTTCTTCTTTTTTCTGTCTTTTTTTTTTAATCTATTTTACCCCCAACTAGGATCTACAAACACACGGAGGCTGTGCACAGATTTTTTATGAAATAATCAAAAGAGGAAAACAAATACTTCTATCCAAACTGAACTGCAGTTTGCTGCATGCACTCGCTTCAGTGCAGGAGGTGAGAGAATTTACTCAGAACTATGTGACATTAATGAACAGAGAAACTGCAACAAATTTAAAAGTTCAGTGTTCTATTTAATTTTTATATCTTATTAATATTGTTATTACTATAAATGGGGACTTCTGTCTATATCAGGGTGTTTCTCGTTAAAAAAAGGAAGCACCAATGCACTGATGGTAAAATATTTGTGAATATTATTGTAGGATAAAGCTTAGGGTCTTCTGGATTTTTCCACGCACTTTGTTAAGATCTTTCCCTCCCCTCCCTCTGCCTCCCTCACCCTCTTTCATTGCTTCTGGAATTCTCCCATGTCCACCCACTAACAGCTTTGTAGGAAGCACTTTTAATGTTTTCTCTTTCACAACGATTTGAAGAAAAATGTGCATATATTTATTCTGTAATTTCAGTGAATAATTTAATTGTAAAGGTAATGTTAAATCAATGTATAGTGAATATGCGTCTGGTATAGCCTTCTTAATAAAAACAAACTCTTCAATCAAATGATGAAAGAGTTGCCACTGGACCGTGTGTGGAAGTTATACTGACAAACTGTGCCTTTGGTGTCCTGCTGAAGAGGTTTGCTGGAAATGCTGCTGGAGATGAAAGAAAACTAGAAAGAAAAGTGCTGGAGGGTAATATTACCTGAATTGATATGACTTTTAATATTCTTTCAATAATGTAGGCAAAACATAAAACACTGATGCTTGTTTAGCATTTTATTTTAGGTTTCAATCTCAACTTCTGGGTTTAATTCTACGGCATCCCAAAAGATCAGGCGAAGTAAAAGCTTGAAGAAAAGAGGAAATACCAAATCAGTGAGAAATGCTGGTATTGTCTTTTGAAAATGTACAGCTGATGTTGGACCCTAAATAATTAGTAAGAGGGTGACTGAACATATGATTGAAAGACACATTTGGATGCAGCAAAATTTGTTTCTCTGTTCTTCTGAAGCAGCTGTGAGCTCAGTCCACTGGGGGGCGATAAAATGAGTATTCCATTTATTATTGCAGTGATGTTACTGTTGAATGACTATATCATTATTATATCATTACAAATGTTTAAAGCTCTCACACACACACACACACACACACACTATATATATATATATATATATATATATATATATATATATATATATATATATATATATATATATTTGTACATACATACATACATATACAGTGGTGTGAAAAACTATTAGCCCCCTTCCTGATTTTTTTTTCTTCTGCACGTTTGTCACACAAAATGTTTCTGATCATCAAACACATTCAACCATTAGTCAATGATAACACAAGTAAACACAAAATGCCGTTTTTAAATGATGGTTTTTATTATTTAGGGTAAGAACAAAATCCAAACCTACATTGCCCTGTGTGAAAAAGTAATTGCCCCTGAACCTAATAACTGGTTGGGCCTCCCTTAGCAGCAATAACTGCAATCAAGCGTTTGCGATAACTTGCTACGAGTCTTTTACAGCGCTCTGGAGGAATTTTGGTCCACTCATCTTTGCAGAGTTGTTGTATTTCAGCTTCATTTGAGGGTTTTCTAGCATGAACCGCCTTTTTAAGGTCATGCCATAGCATCTCAATAGGATTCAGGTCAGGACTTGACTAGGCCACTCCAAAGTCTTCATTTTGTTGTTCTTCAGCCATTCAGAGGTGGATTTGCTGGTGTGTTTTGGGTCATTGTCCTGCTGCAGCACTGAAGATCGCTTCAGCTTTAGTTGACGAACAGATGGTCGGACATTCTCCTTCAGGATGTTTTGGTAGACGGTAGAATTCATGGTTCCATTTATCACAACAAGCCTTCCAGTTCCTGAAGCAGCAAAACAACCCCAGACCATCACACTACCACCACCATATTTTACTGTTGGTATGATGTTCTTTGTCTGAAATGCTGTGTTACCTCTACGCCAGATGTAACGGGACATTTGCCTTCCAAAAAGATCAACTTTTGTCTCATCAGTCCACAAGGTATTTTCCGAAAAGTCTTGGCAATCATTGAGATGTTTCATAGCAAAATTGAGACGAGCCCTAATGTTCTTTTTGTTTAACAGTGGTTTGCGTCTTGGAAATCTGCCATGCAGGCCATTTTTGCCCAGTCTCTTTCTTATGGTGGAGTCGTGAACACTGACCTTAACTGAGGCAAGTGAGGCCTGCAGTTCTTTACAAGTAGTCCTGGGGTCTTTTGTGACCTCTCGGATGAGTTGTCTCTGAGCTCTTGGGGTAACTTTGGTCAGCCGCCCACTCCTGGGAAGGTTCACCACTGTTCCATGTTGTTGCCATTTGTGGATAATGGCTCTCACTGTGGTTCGCTGGAGTCCCAAAGCTTTAGAAATGACTTTATAACCTTTACCAGACTGATAGATCTCAATTACTTTTGTTCTTGAATTTCTTTGGATCTTGGCATGATGTCTAGCTTTTGAGGTGCTTTTGGTCTACTTCTCTGTGTCAGGCAGCTCATATTCAAGTGATTTCTTGATTGAAACAGGTGTGGCAGTAATCAGGCTTGGGGGTGGCTACAGAAATTGAACTCAGGTGTGAAACACCACAGTTGGGTTATTTTTTAACAAGGGGACAATTACTTTTTCACACAGGGCAATGTAGGTTTGGATTTTGTTCTCACCCTAAATAATAAAAACCATCATTTCAAAACTGCATTTTGTGTTTACTTGTGTTATCTTTGACTAATGGTAAAATGTGTTTGATGATCAGAAACATTTTGTGTGACAAACATACAAAAGAATAAGAAATCAGGATAGGGCAAAGAATTTTTCACACCACTGTGTGTGTGCATATATATATATATATATATATATATATATATATATATATATATATATATATATATATATATATATGAGAAGTAAACTAAACAGTAGGAAAAAAATCTTAATTTCTTTCTTTTTTTTTTTTTTTTTACTTGAAAGACTTCCGAGAGCTTTTCCATTTTCTTTTGAATTGCCGATCCCTGACTTTCTATCTGCACTGAAAACCACTCATGGGTTAATTACTCCTAAATAGTTTCCTCCAAAGCAATCATCATTTGATTAATGTAGCTGTTTATAGTATTTTCCATGTTCGTTTCATGCATTTTGGGTGAAAGAAAAGACAAATGAAAACGAAAAAAAAAGAAATATATGAAGGTTGAACCAACCATATATATCACATAGTAATCCTATTTCATGTAAAAAAAATATGATTTGAGAAAGAAAATTTAAATGGATGTTGGTGTTGTGAAAAATTGTGAAGACACAATGGAAGGAAACTGCTTTGAAAACGACACATTATGCACTTTCATTTTATTCCAGTATATATTTACAGATAGTGATGTCACTCAGTTGCATCTGGATCAGATGGTTTCTTGTGTGTAAGGAGTCACACTAACTGAAAGAAATGTAGCCACTTACCTTTCTTTCCTGTTCAGATGAAAACACCAATCGCTAGCTTAGCAGAGTCATCTCCAGCATTGGTTATCAGTGAATCAGTCTTGAATTAAATGGAACATTTTACCTTGTTTTGTATTCACTGTTTATTTCTTTTGACAATGGACACCTTGGTAAAAAAAACATTTAGAAGCAAAGCTGTGTATCACCAAAGATACTACTTCTTTCTTTAGAGGGCCTATTGGACTGTGCCCATAAAATCTCACTGAACTCATGATGACCAACATGCTCGTACACAGCTGCACATAAAACCTCAGTGTCCCTGATGACAAGGTGGGGTTGCATGGTCAGCATTTCAGTATGCACTCAGACTGATTAAAAACGAGGGATCACTCTGTTAACGTAAACATTCAATAACCAAACCCAATCAGCATCAAATTCATCATTCAAGTTTGAGGATTGTAGATAGTTTTGCACTTGTCCATTTCTTGCTATTGTCCCATCACCGTTTTTCATCCGAATTTCATAAAGAAGTGTTATAGGGCTTAGTCCTGTTGTTCCATCCTAATTGGTTTTAAACCCAACTAATCTTCTTGCTATCCTGGTTTGGAATCTGCAAGTGGTTTAACATTCAAAGTTGTTGCACTAATCTTCCCTGCATTCATCCTAAATCTGAGGTCATGTTTGCTGTAAAAAAATGTGCCCAACATCAGTTCTTGAGGCCTTTCCACCAATACTTCTTTACATTAACTTAAGCTATATTTCCAGTTTTGGTCCCTTCATGTTACTTGCATTTGCTTGTTTTTGTTCTTTTCAACTTCAATTTTTGTATTTTTCTAGGTCCAAATGACTAGCCCGGCCTGCCAGATTCGCCCTCTGTCTATTCTACACAGAGAACGAGTCTGGATGCTCAGAAGCAGAGAGCAACACGAGGGGAGGGGCTAGCCTGCTCAAAAATAACCAATCAGGGAAAAGGCAGAAATGACAATTGTAGTGCGGGACGCTGTAGATTTTTAGCTTTAGTCAAAGATGGCGTCTAAAGAAATATCTTTCTTTAGAAGAAAGGCTTTCAGCGCTTCATCTTCTTGTGGTTTTAAAGACACGCCCTAGCCATTTAAAACAGAGGAAAGAGACAGAGCGAACGCTGCTTCATCTTAGCCGTTGCGGTGTGTGACGTACACTGCTCAGTGCTGATTGGCTCAGTTAGATATCTCAGGGGGTGGAGTTATTTGAGTGAGAGAGTTACCAGGCTCTTTGCTTCTATAAGGAAGCATGGGCATGGCTGGCCAGGCTACCAGATGACCTGAGTTTATATAGAAATGCCAAATGTTGAGCTGTAATCCAACTTCTTGCAGACAGTAAAGTTGCTAATTGACTCTTACTTAACTTTTTAAGTTTATTTGTGAACAGAAAGTGTAAGAATTAAACGTTTTGGCCTTTTGCATTTTCCCCAGCGTTTACTATCTGAATTCATACGGTTTAATACAGATTTGTCATATTCTACATTATGATGCATATAATGTGTTGGATTTGTGTTCCCTGCTGGGTAGATTAGAGACATTAAATGGATTAAATGCATTTCTCTAAAGTAGAACTGTTACACGTGTATCTTTATGCAGTCGCTGCACATTTCTTGAAATTATCTTGATTTTATCACATTTAGGATACAATTTATACATGCAAGGTCATTGGTATGTCTTGACATATAATGTTGGATTGTCTGATTTCAACCTGAAGTCTGATTCTGTTGTGGTGTTGTCATTTAAAGCTGATTAGAGGAGCATCTGTAGGGTTTTACGTCAGGATGATGTCTAGCTGCGTTTTTTTTTTCCTTTCTCCTTCGTTTAGTTTTTTTTTTTTTGTCTCTAAATGTATATTTTTGGCCCCTGGTTATTTGGTATTTGCCTGCATCACACATTAGAGAAAAGGTTGCTTTCAGTCCACGGTTACACGAGTCAGCCCATGCACGTGTATGTTAGATTGATCGCTCATCCTTCTTTCTTGTTTTCCTGTCCTCCGTTGGTGTTTGTTGATTTGTTGGTGGCTGTTTGAGAGTCAAAATTGGCTGAGACATTGATTTGGAATGGCAGTGTGGAGCGAATGTGGAGGGGAATAACAAAACAGGAGGACTTTGAGAG